CAGCAATTCCCCATTTTCCCTCCCCAATCCCAGTTTTTTCCCATTTTTCCTCTCAAATCCCTGGTTTTTTCCCATTTTTCCCATTTTTCCATCCACATTTTTTCTCATTTTTCCTCCTCATCCTTCTTCTTTCCCATTTTTCCTCCCAAATCCCTCTTTTTTCCCCATTTTCCCTCCCCAATCCCAGTTTTTTCCCATCTTTTCTCCTCAGTCCCTGTTTTTTCATATTTTCCTTCTTCAATCCCTGTTTTGTTCCCACTTATTCTCCCCAATCCCAGGTTTTTTTCCATTTTTCTCCCCAATCCCATTTTTTCCCCATTTCTCCTCCCCAATCCCAGTTTTTCCCACTTTTCCTCCCCAATCCCTGTTTTTATTCCCCATTTTTCTCCCCAATCCCAGTTTTTTTCCCAGTTTTTCCCCATTTCCCCTCCTCAATCCCTGTTTTTATTCCCCATTTTCCCTCCCCAATCCCATTTTTTCCCCATTTTCCCTCCCCCATCCCATTTATTCCCAGTTTTCCCCCCTCATTCCCAGTTTTTTCCCCCAGGAAGGGAAGTTGGAAGTTCTCCAAACCCGGAGTGGGGAGAAGGTGAGTTGGGAATTCCGGGAATTCTGGAGCCTCCTGGGCCCTTCCCAGGGAAAATCTGGGAATCCTGGAGCCTCCTGGGCCCTTCCCAAGGGAAATCCGGGAATTCTGGAGCCTCCTGGGCCCTTCCCAGGGGGAAATCTGGGAATTCTGGAGCCTCCTGGGCCCTTCCCAAGGGAAACCCGGGAATGTTGGGGCTCTTCCCACTTTTCCAGACCCTGAAATTCCTGCGGAATTGTCGCCTGGAAGTCGGGATGAGGAACAACGTGAAGTGGGAGCTGACCCCGGAGATCGTGGCCCGGCACTTCCTCCGGAATGTGAGGGACATTCCCGACATTCCCAGCCCCAAATCCCGGGATTTGCCCTTCCCAGCACCCAAATTCCCTGATTTTTGGGCTCATTCCTGGGATTCTCTGGGTTCATTCCCAGCATTCCCTGATTTTTGGGGTCATTCCCAGCATTCCCTGGGGTCATTCCTGGGATTCTTTGGGCTCATTCCCAGCATTCCCTGATTTTTGGGGTCATTCCTGGGATCCTTTGGGGCCATTCCTGAGATTCCTTGGGGTCATTCCAGGGATTCTTTGGGCTCATTCCCAGCGTTCCCTGATTTTTGGGCTCATTCCTGGGATTCTCTGGGTTCATTCCCAGCATTCCCTGATTTTTGGAGTCATTCCAGGAATTCCCTGGGGTCATTCCTGGGATTCTTTGAGATCATTCCCTGCATTCCCTGATTTTTGGGGTCATTCCTGGGATTCCCTGGGGTCATTCCTGGGATCCTTTGGGGTCATTCCTGGGATTCTCTGGGTTCATTCCCAGCATTCCGTGATTTTTGGGCTCATTCCCAGCATTCCTTGGGTTCATTCCCTTTTTTTTGGGCTCATTCCCCCATTCCCAGTGTTTATTCCCATTCCCAGCTGGGGGTGTTTGTCCCCCATTCCCAGGGTTCATTCCCCCATTCCCAGGGTTCATTCCCACATTCCCAAGGTTTATTCCCATTCCCATCCCAGCTGGGGGTGTTTGTTCCCCCATTCCCAGGGTTCATTCCCCCATTCCCCCATTCCCAGTGTTTATTCCCAAGGTTCATTCCCATTCCCATTCCCAGCTGGGGGTGTTTGTTCCCCCATTCCCACATTCCCAGGGTTCATTCCCAGTGTTTATTCCCATTCCCACATTCCCAGTGTTTATTCCCAGTGTTTATTCCCAGTGTTTATTCCCATTCCAGCTGGGGGTGTTTGTTCCCACATTCCCAAGGTTTATTCCCAGTGTTTATTCCCATTCCCACATTCCCAGGGTTCATTCCCACATTCCCAGTGTTTATTCCCAGTGTTCATTCCCAGTGTTTATTCCCATTCCCACATTCCCAGGGTTCATTCCCACATTCCCAGTGTTCATTCCCAGTGTTTATTCCCATTCCCAGCTGGGGGTGTTTGTTCCCCCATTCCCAGTGTTTATTCCCAGGGTTTATTCCCAGTGTTTATTCCCGGTGTTTATTCCCATTCCCAGCTGGGGGTGTTTGTTCCCCCATTCCCAGTGTTTATTCCCAGGGTTTATTCCCAGTGTTTATTCCCGGTGTTTATTCCCATTCCCAGCTGGGGGTGTTTGTTCCCCCATTCCCAGGGTTCATTCCCACATTCCCAGTGTTTATTCCCAGTGTTTATTCCCATTCCCAGCTGGGGGTGTTCATTCCCACATTCCCACATTCCCAGTGTTCATTCCCAGTGTTTATTCCCAGTGTTTATTCCCAAGGTTTATTCCCATTCCCATTCCCAGCTGGGGGTGTTTGTTCCCCCATTCCCA